AAAGCGGCCAAGTGCGAGTCGGACTCGCCCATGAAGGGTTCCGTAGCAGCAAGTAACATAATTTACGATTTATGACGTTTAAAAAAAAACTACTTACTAGATCTCGTACAAACCAATTTTCGGTGGAAGTTTACATGGTAATGTACATCATATATTTTTTTAGTTTTATCATTCTCTTATTTTAGAAGTTGCAGGGGGAGGGGGGGCACACATTTTACCACTTTGGAAATGTCTCTAGCGCAAACTATTCAGTTTAGAAAAAAATTATATAAGAAACCTCAATATCATTTTTGAAGACCTGTCCATAGGTATCCCACATGTATGGGTTTGATGAAAAAAAAGTTTTTAAGTTTCAGTTCGAAGTATGGGGAACCCCCAAAATTTATTGTATTTTTTTTTCTATATTTGTGTGAAAATCTTAATACGGTTCACAGAATACATCTACTTTCCAAGTTTCAACAGCATAGTTAAGAACTAAGACTATAAGATAGTTTCGGAAAAAAATGGCTGTGACATACGGACGGACAGACAGACAGACATGACGAATCCACATCCTGAAACTAATTAGAAAATACTTTTTAGGGTTCCGTAGCCAAATGGCAAAAAACTGAACCCTAAAAAGTATTTTCTAATTAGTTTCAGGCTTAAAATGGAATCTGTTCCAATAAAGAAGTCCCGCAGAAAATATGCGAACTAGAATTTAAGTAAAGTATGAAATTAGATAGCAAATATTAAATTTCTAGAAGGCAGTGGCTATAACTTAGTTATTATATGATTATATATACTCTAAAACTTTAACCGTCTTCTTTCATCACAAAAACTTTTCTTTAAGTCCGAAATTATCAATAAACCACATTTTGTTGCAATGCCGAAAATATCTCACACTACCACTTACTTCAGGTGCTCAAAACGTGGATATAATCCGATAAACTATGATTTAAGAATAAAACTATGGTTTAAGAGTCCTTACTGATGAAGTCCGTTAGACGCAATGCCACTTTCTTCGCGAAATTTGACATTACTTGCTGTCAATGTAGTCTTTGAACCTAACACTAATTGTGTAATTGTAATAGTCAGTTACGTCATAAATTTTAATTCGAACAATCGGACCCATTACATTAGAACTTCCAAACGGGTAGTATAGTAATAAACGCTCCAAAAGAAGTATAACTTCAAAATACAACTTTCTTTATAACATTCGTTTACTTTAATGTAGTATATAAGTTTTTTATATGACTTATATAAAAATACTCAAAACAGGGTATAAAAATAAGCACACTATAAATATAAAAGCAGCCCAGCTTTGTGCTTACGCAAGTTAGTTTCAAAGAGGAGAACAAATAACATTTCAATTGGCTTTTAAAGCTTTACCTGTGTTTGATTTATAACATCGCATATTTCTTTGACGTTCGAGAGTTGCGCTTATTAAAAATTATTCAAAGAAAAGTAATATTCCTCCGAAGCGACCTTTACCTTATATTTACTTTATCTTTATTTTTATTTTTTATTTTTATTTTATACGAGTACGTGGTAGAGTCATGCTGCAGCTATATTAAGGTTGTAGCACGAATGGGTCGGCTCGACCGGGGAAGGACCACGCTCTCACAGAATATCAGCGTAAAATAGCAGCTTGGCGCTGCTGTGTTTCGTGTAGTGAGTGTGAAGAACCGGAGGCCCTTTTTGCTGGAGACGAGGCATTCCATCTTAGTCCTCACGGGTGACAACGCATCTACATTTTGATTCGTAATCGAAGATAGATGTAGATGTGTATGGGCCACAGCAACCACTTACCATCAGGTGGACTGTGTGCTTGTTTGTCACCCTTATCCTATAATATTTTTTTTATAATACATCCATGGTACAAATTAGGCAGTTAAAAGTAAATACAAGCTACCACAAGATAGATTAGGTATGCAAACCAACAGCCATTACCGTTACCGTTAACTTTACATCCTATTAAAGTCCACTGCTGAACCCCCTAGATTGCGTCATAGGGGGGATATTTGCCATAGTTGCTACGCTTGGTTGGATTTTTAGTCGTTATTAAAACGCTGCTGCCCATCTCCTGATTTGTTTCCCTCCGTCGCCTCTTACCATACCCACGGGATGATATGGGGTATTGGATATTCTTGCACCGGTAAACACTACAAGGTGAACGGTAAGCCAGCAGCAACAACACCTTATCTTGAAAATTCATGTTTGCGTTTACTTTTTAGTATGCTTGTTACTGGACTTAACAATGAAATATGTTAGCTTTTCACCGACTTCAAAGAGAAGGAGCGTGTTATTTCGTGTGCTGCTGTTCTGGTTGGAAGGTCTAGAGAGCCAGTATAGCAGGTTATTAGGCATTCATCTTTGCACTTGAAGGTGGCCAGGTCTGCAGCAATGGTCTAAAGTTGGCTGTAGGTGTCTTCGGGCTGCAGTAAACAATCACCGTCAGATGAAAATTTATGCTCTTAACACTAGTTCCATCTACACCACCAGCAAGAAACCTACTGCATTTTTTATTAATTAATCTGCAATGTTTTTAGTACTTACATTTAAAAAACTTTTTCAAACATTGAAGCGTTAGTCTCATTTCCAGAAATTATTACTAACCATGTTTTTTTTTAAATCGTAATGATATAATAACTATTTCAAACAGTCTTTGTCATATACATATATGTCTATATTCTAGGACTTTGTTGTTAAGAGAATGTCAGCCGAAACACAGTGATTATAATAAACTTGTCCAAAATATGAAACACCATTTAAGAATAAAGCAAAGCTATCTTTACTCCGGAATACATTCTCATTTATTTTCAAAATATTAAACAAACGACGACGAGTAGCCATTTACTCCATAATATTCTATTCTCCTTTAGCTCATAGACAATAGATGTTCGAATCTGTAGCGCACTCCCTCGAGGCCGCCTCAACATGTCTATGCTTAAATTAAACTTTGTACAGATAAAGCGGAGGAGGCATTTTGTTAAGGAATTTTTATTTCCATATTAATAGTATTTATATTTTTACTTAATATAATGATAGTCTACGAAGTTCGTATATAATGATTAAAATATTACTTACAGATGTTTATTATGAATTTAAATGAATTTTGAGATTTTTTTTGTGGAGACTGTTTCCATACATATAATGACTGCTTCTTCTTTGCCTGAACGTAAAGGTCCACTGCTGGACATGGACCTCCTCTATCGTAGGCGGGATATGAATACTTATTTCAAGTTATTGACGATCTCTTGAAGCATAAATGAGAGTCTATAAGCGCCTTGTGTTATATAAATTAGGGTCGAGAAAAATCTTTTCGATTTCTCGACGCAAGACGCTCATCTCAAATGCCTCTAACTAAAGGTCATCAAGACCTAACATTTTTTTGCAACGCTTGTTACAAATGTCACAAAGTCAAAAGTCTATCTTATCTTCCTAACGTGTATGGTCACCTTAATGTGTACATGTCAGGTTTACCTGTACAGTTACATCGGTCAGGTAGGCTTGAGCAAAGTAGAGAACATACACGTAGTGGTTATGCAAAATACACTGTTTAGTACAGTTGAACGTGTCAGGTTCACCGTAGCGTAAATATGTTACACTTTACGTGGTAGAGCCTAATGACCAAATACTCAAACGCTATCTACTCAATTTTGAGAGGTCGTTACGTCTCGTGGTGTCACAATCACTTTGACTTAAAGTGATAGAGACAGCACGAAACTTACCGGCATCTTGAAATTGAGCAGGATTTGAGTATTTGGCCACAAAACCCTTCGAACAACAAAGAAAAAGATTTTTATGTGAGATTTATTTGTCGGTCTGAGGATCACGAGAGCCACGCTATATTAGTGTTGCATAATGCCACCATTTGCCATCCATACCATTTATGAACCTTAATCCCCAAGCCGACTCGACAGCTAAGAATGTTACCTATGGCAAATATCACCATGAGCCAATCTATGGGGTAGGCCTTATACAGCAGTGAACTTTTAATAGGCTAACGATATTATTAAATTATCAGTCCTGAATTAGAAACGCAGCTAAAACCAACATTTGTGTGAATATCATTGTTATAAAAAATAATTTAAAACGCAGTTAAATATAAATCAATTTAAAAAAAAACATATTAAAGTTTTCGGATCACACACAAACTAGAATGATAATGTAATTGTAGTGATAGCCAGGCTTTTAGTACCTATGTGACACTAAGTGGCCAGTTTTTAACATCTTTCTTTCGTAAGGAAAGTGGTTCACCAATGATACGTTTTCACACATAAAGAAACGAAAAAAATCAAACTGCATTTATAATTATGTCCATTTATTCGTGTGTATTAATTACGCTGAATATTTTCGTTCTGGTTTTTTTTTTAATTATATTATTTTCAACCACAACAAATCCTAAAATTTATAGTTATACTATAGAGGACAATATAACGTAATTTTAAGCGGGGCTCAAGCAGAAACGTTCATATATCGACTCGTTATATTTCATACAAAAAAGTACAACTTATCCCCGGAAACCGAAGCAATAAATCAGAAATAAAGCAATGATGAAAATGCTTTTTCGCCTGATGAAATAAACCTTTCAAATACAATCTAATTTCTGCCCTAACATGTGTACGTATATCAGAGTTACATTTGCAAGTAGCAACCACCCTTTTCACAAGTCGTACAGCCTCCCCATGCCTTAGAAACCACACGAATACTCTCTCTTACATAACAATAATGCCTTTTCTACAGCCTTCCTGATAAATAGCCGTGATATACAACTATACTCAAGTACAACACACGTTCAAATGCCACGTGGTTCAATAAAGTTCCCGGTAAAGAACAGCGCCATCTGTCGGGTGGTTGAATAATTATTCCAACAACTGAATTCCTGCAATGGTTCTCTCAGAAATTCAGAACTTTTGTATGGGGAGTTGCTGTTGAGTTGCAACAGATAGCGCCATGTGTAACGAAATATTAATTTGAAACACTCGTTTTAATTATATATTTTTATTTTGTTACAGCTGTCAGAACTCGAGCAGCGAGTTCTGGAAGCCGAGGGCAGAGCAGAGGAAGCGGAAGACAAGGTAAATTTTAATTAATAATTACTCCTTGTAATTTGTTTTGTTTTGTTTTGTCAATAAATAGGATAAATTATATTTTTACATTTTCGGTTACTACAGTATAAGAAAACACGAAAAACTCATTAAAACCCGACCAAAATATTTGCGTTCTTGCACAAATATAAGCACTGGCGAGGCCTATAATTCTAGGACCTGTGCTTCAGTAGATTGGCACTTGGACGACTAAACCTTGTTATCGTCATCTATTAAATGATAGTAATATTAGGCTAGCTGAAACGCCAATTTACTATTTATTATTATAAAGGACTTTGTCGCTGAGCGACCACATCGTCCCGTTTTGTCTACATTTACTTAATCACTACAATTGAATACAAAATTAAACATAAAATCTATTATATTAACAATAGTTACGTGCAAAGAGCACGCGCGACTATAAGCAAACACACCTAAGGAATAGGAATAAGTGGAACCATAAACAGCCCCATCTATTTCCCTACACAGAATCAAGTCTGTTAGCTTGACCAACATTTTAGCCTCCTCCGACAAAAAAATTGACCTTAAAACTTAAAAAGTCTCTAAACAAAAGTTTTTATGCAACAGTTTTATGGGGCATTAATTTTTACTAGATAATCGCCCACTGGGAATAGGCCACTTAACATTCTGAGGCACAAAGCTACATTCTCGGTTAAATGACCTTAAATAAGCATACTATGTATTTTAGAATATATACATTACATGTGTAATTCTTATTGAAAGTCATTTTTTACTTTACCACTGGTTCGAAAAAAAACCTTCTGTCCTGGGAAGAACCAGCAAGAAACCCAGCGGGACTTTTTTTTTAAAAATAAATTTTACAATATAAATGATTACGAACTATTTACAAAATTTATTTTAGAAACTGCTTGGGAGCGACCACCTCATTCCCACATGTTATTATCAACTACTTTTTATACAGTTTCAGCTTAATAAACATTTAAACTTGGCAATAGAGAGAACCTGTATACTATTTTTCATGTCAGAAAACTATCTAGATACATATAAGTAAGTATAATATACACAAATTTATGCAGTTGCTAAAATTACAGTAAACAACAGTAGGTACTTGAAAAATATTAAATATACTGTCAGCTCCTTGTCACAATTTTTTTCGGAGTTTCGGAAGACATTGAAAATCTCTCTCTCTAAGTCTCCTCCTTAATCGGAGTAAGTAGAGGGAGAGAGAGAGCGAGATTTCTCTCTCTCTCTCTCTCTCTCTCTCTCTATGCCGCCAAGCCAAGTCTATCGCAAGCCATTAGATCTTTCTGGCATTTCCCATAACCTTTTAAAGCCGATCTTCCACCGCAAACTAAACTGGTGTGGGATTCTCTAAAGCCAGCACCATGCGGAGTATTTTTAACAAAAAGTTGCTTAATATTAAAAATCAGTGATTGATGGATCATGATTTCTATTGCGATGATTTCATATTAAAATATTTCTAGTTAACTTAAACACAAAAAATTTGTACCAAATCAGACATGCAAACCAGTAGAGAAGACAAAAATGAACAAAACGCGACTTTAATCGCCCTTTGCCGGCTTTATCGAAAATACGAATATAACTTGGAGCAATCGAGGATTGACGCTGTCCGCTCAAAGTAAACGTATCATTTTAGTACACGGTCCTAAAAAACTATGTACTGTGTGCTCTCGTTTGTTTACTCTATAAAAAAATCCTATCCTACCTAGGTGAAACCACGAAGGAACGCTAGTCTATTAATAAGCTGTTTTGTACTTGCATTCTTTTTTTATAGAATAAGGGTGACAAACGAGCACAGCCCACCTATTGGTAAGTGGATGATGTGGCCCTTAAACATCCACATTTATCCTCGACTAATAATCAAAATTCAAGCGTCAGTAGCCTAATGGCAGGACGCGGACCGTGGACTCGAAAGGTCGAATCCGTCATTGGATTACTGTCGTGAACCACTTCTAACACAAGCATTTTAAGCTTACCAGAAGTGGGAAATTAAAGGGAATATTAGTAATGTTTAATAGCATTACTAATTATTTTTTTTAATTATATAAAAAAAAACGTTGTCACCCCTGTGGACTACTATGGATTATCTCGTTTCCAGTAAAAAGGATCTCCGGTTCTCTACCCTCACCAAACGAAACACAGCAACATTAATCTGCTATTTTACACTGGTATACTGTGAGAGCGTGGTACTACCCCAGTTCGAGCTGACCTATTTATGCTACAACCATAACATAGCTGCAGCGTGGCTCTACCACGTATAAAACTATACACATATTTTATAGTATAAGGGTGAAGCACTCAGTACACCTGATAGTAAGTGGATACTGAGATCCATATTCATCTACATCTACCCACGATTAAGAATAAAACTGCAGATACGTTGTCACTCCTAAGGGTTAAGGTGGAATGCCTAGTTTGTAGTAAAAAGAGTAGTTACTAGTGTATGTATACGTATATCATGCGTATATCCATACACACATACGTAGAAATATTCTTCCAGTTTTGTGATATCTACTCGTCGTATAATTATTACTTCCATTAAAGTCAGTTTCAGTTAAGTACAGTTTAAAGTCATTACAAGTGGATTTCATCCTGTAAATCTTTAAACGATGTTCATAACGAAATTCCGGCAATGAGTGTCAGCGATTAATTAATAAATGTCGAAGCCCGATAAATTTCGATGTAATTAAATGATTCAAAATGTACAATAGGTAGACATACTAGTAAAGCCTTTTATCAAAATTGAAATAATTAGGTTATATTAGTATTATAGTTAATAACAGGATTATTTTATAGGATGAGGGTGACAAACGAGCACACAGTCCACCTGATGGCAAGTGGTTGCTGTGGCCCATAGACTTCTACATCTATCTTCAATTACGAATCATAATGCAGATGCGTTGTCACCCGTGAGGACTAAGATGGAATGCCTCGTTTTCAATAAAAAGGGTCTCCGGTTTTCTACACTCACCATACGAACACACAGCAGTATTAAGCTGCTATTTTACGCTGGTATTCTGTGAGAGCGTGGTCCTTCCCCGGCCGAGTTGACGCATTCGTGCTACAACCATAACATAGCGGCAACATGGCTCTACCACGTAAAAAAAATGTAACGTTTATTTTAATGTTAACGTAAGCATTATTATATTCCAATAAAACCAGCCAGAAATATCTCACATTTAGCCGTTTAATGGCTGTGTGAGAATATCCACTACGCTTGTGGCGACAGATTGCATCTAAACCAGGAGATGGACAGTAGCATCTTCCTGATAACAACTGAATGAAAATAAAAACTGCGGTTTCCAACCCGCTTACCAGGCGTGGCATCTATGGCAAATATCTCCTCTATGAGGCAATATATGGGAAAGGCCAATGTGAAACAATGGACTTCTGATTGGCTGCAATGGTGTTTGAGTTTTTGATATTTTTTAAGTCTATACATACGAGTATATTAGCGTAGTAGCTAGAAACCAAGACGCTCGCCATGAATTTACACGAGCAAATCGCATCCCAATCCCCTCCGGCATCAATGAAATTATAAATGTAATTTAAATTAAATGATTCACCACTTGCTCGGGGGTGAAGAAAAACATTATGAGTAAACCTGCATTTCTGAGGAATAAAAAACATTTCGAAGACACGATAAGTCTGCCACTGGGGTACTGGAGTAGCGCTGCAGTCTAATTGCACCATAACCCTCAAAGAAGTGCGGAAAGACCTGTCGCCAGCTGTGTGACGTAAATAGATCAAGAATAGAGAAAGATAATCTTATACTATATTAGTCACAAAATCTCTGTCTTTGTGAAAATATGCAGAATTGAAATATATCGTTAATTATTTTTTATTTAATTATTAATAACTTGCATAAGTTTGATATTTTTACTACATTAAAAGATAGAAGATGAATGTGCTCGCTATCAATCAGCATTACAACATTATCAACGTGTCGAGTTAGAGCGTCGTAAAGCGCACCCTTATTGTGGCACATTTCGTTAAAGCACACTACAGCTGAGAAGCGAGGGAAATACTGTTCGAGGGATTGTATCGAGGGGCGGCGGTACCGTCAGCAAATTAAATATCATATTAAAAAATCATTTCGATTTTTTTAAACATTACCAACACACTACCATCTTCTCCTGTATCGTGGAGACGGTTTACATATAAATTTCTCAAGGTAATAGGTCCAGACCCGAAACAATTACTTGTAGGCCATACAAATTCTCGTTCGCGGCCCTGAGCGCTGCAACTTATGCTAAGCCATTTTCTTTATTTTTGAGACTGCAAGCACTGTTATTTTTCGGCAGAAATAGCATAGAGGTTGGTACCTACCCAGAAGAACTCCTACGGAAGAGGAGTCGTAACACAATTCGAATTTACTATTTTGATTACAACACCTAAAAGGTGTAATTACCGTTGTGTTCTTGTATATAAAGGGTCAGTATAATTACAACGGTATATTTTTTTAATCCCCATGATTGATAACGCAAAATATCCCGTGTAGTGGTGTATAAGAATACCCACTACCCCATATCTTGCCGTCGGTGTCGTAAGATGCGACAGAGGGAAACTGCAGCAGAAGATGGGCAGCAGCATCTTTTTGATAACAGCAAAACAACAATAAAAAACTGCGGTAGCCAACTCGCTCGCCAAGCGTGGCAACTGTAGCAATATACCCCCCATGAAAAAAAGTTACGAAGAGACGGCCCCCAGTTCCGGCGGCCCCGCTATTCCTGGCTACGGTGGCGACCATGGCAACGGCGGGGCAGGGCTTCCTAAGATTCTCCGGTGGTATTCGGTTGCCACCTAAGACGACTTGACCTGGCAACATAAAACGCACGCACCCTGAGGACTGATGAGAAGATCCTGGAGCTGGAAGAAGAGATAAACAAGTTGCGTCGGAATATTATAGGATTATCCGAAGTCCGAAGAGACGGGGAGGACATGGTAATCCTCGAATCCGGCAACTTGTTCTATCACCGGGAGGGCGA